GTTTAGTGACGTTTTGTATATTATCACTAGTATGACATTAGGTCCATCGACATGAAAATCTCATAAAGATTTTACGTCACCACGAAAGAAGCGGAAAGTGTTGCATATTTCGAAAACCAAAAAATAATAATTGTAAATATCTATAAATATGTAAAAGAAACGTGGTCTAGTGAAGTTTATCCATCCAAAAGGGATATAAAAAGAAGACTGCCGATATTTTAGGTTATAATCAATGTGAGGGACTCTTCTACGTCTTCATCATCATAAAATGATTCTGAAATAGATACAGATAAATAGTCTATCAAGTGTCTCTGAAAATCTATTATAAAAAGTTATATGCATGCTTCAAGGTTGGCTGCTTAAGAATGCTTAGCTTTAAAAGTTCGTCTTTTTACCTGACTGCCAAGAAGTTGTTATGTTTTATACAACTACCTACCTACCTACTTATTAAAGTAATTACCTACTATTAACGTAATAATGAAAATTCATTTAGGTACAGGATAATCCTCTTTCTTTATAATATAATAATAGACATAGGGCCCGTAAAGAACTTCGCACTCGGCACCATTATATTTCACTCTGATGTATGTAATGATAAAAGGATAAAAATGAACCTAAACAAAAAAGATTGCTTACCCCGATGATATCGTCAAAGGTCAATGTACTTTTTTCCGCCTGCTCTAGAAATGTACGGGCAAATGCCGTAATCCAAGCTAGGAAGAAACGTTATTACTTAGTAAACCCCGTTTACCATTTTAGTCAGTTTAGTGTTAAACATTAACCTAAAACTACCTAAGACTATGATTCCTCAATCCGAAACCCTCGTTACGAGCAAACGGAACTCTGGTTCTGGTTGAATTTACGTATATAGTTAATACCTATATTATAACGTAATATAGTTAGCTAAATAGTAAAAAATTAGCTCTAGTGAGTCAGATACTTTAGTATTTTATATGTTACTACTATAACAACGGGAATGAAAATAGGCTATGTGATAAAAACTTAGTTTTTTTTGTACTTTGTTATGACGAGGAACTGGCCTCAAAAAAGGTCAATTGAAAGTCGAATCTATCATACAATATTTAGGTCAATTACTTTAAATGTTTTGTTTATACACTATATGAGTTGCTTTTAAACGACCTTAAAAAAGGACACTACTAAACCGTAGTGATTTCATTTTCTTTGGACTTTACTTTCATGACGATGAGAAAAATATGTCAAATAGGGTTGTCAGTTCTATAATTTGTTTATAAAAATGCTAATTGCTGCTAAAAATATTTTAAATAGCGTTTTCAGTTCTATGGTTCTATTATTTATTCATCTGCTATTATTGTACTCGTAAAATAGCAAGAATTCATTTATTGCATTTGCGTACTTTTTGTGGTTATCGCTGAAAAGAGAAATGAGCTAGAAAAGCTCTTAATATGGAAGTCAATTTTTTCATTTATTTTTTAAATAAATTTCAAAAATTATTATTATTTATCATATGGTTTTAAGTTTGGTTTGGTTGGTTTGGTTTTTATTCACTTGTGGTTAACGCAACCGTTGGGATATATTGATATTAATTTAAAATACATTAATCAGAGATTTGCGAGAGGCTGTACTGTTGACTCTGTGTGAAAGAAGGCCTTGAAAGCAGAGGAATATCGGAATTACGTTGCTTCGCTCGTTTTACGCTATTCGCGAAAATATGGTCTACAGCCTAGCCATAAACCAGATTTGCCGCGGGGGCCAGGAAGACTAGTGCTTCCGTCCTTTGGACTTTTAAGACATCTTCTTTCAGACCTCATAACGAAACGCCGTTTTATGAGCTCGGGTGAGGTCCGCTACGGAGGTGAGGTTTGACGCCGTAGAGAAAGAAATTGGGCCGTGTTCCGGCGCGCTTTGCCCAAGGAGTAATATAGAAAGGAGTTGTTCTCCCCATAGACGGGGCCACCAAGAGGCAGCTGGTAATGTTGAAGCCGCGGATGTGCCATTTCAAAACTCTTGTGCAAATTTTTTTAGTGATTTTATAGCTTTATTTATGTCTAATAATGTTGTGGGTAGTATAAATATTGAATCTAATTTGTTGAAAGTCAACGTATATGTTTTATCAATACTTGGGTAGCTTTTTTAATTTGGTTGGTATAGAAATTATTAATTGTCCTAGCTATAACTAATGGATCCTCAATTATATCACCATCAACAATAATTTTACTAATTGCTTCTTCCTTTGTACTATTTTGTACTTTGTATTATTTTGTACTTTGTACTATTTATTGTTGATGTGGTACTTCAGGGTATGGAACTTCTACGTATTAGATTCTTATATAATATGAAATTGGCGTTTTGTCGAACTGGTCACTGTGATCTCAAATATCTGGCGTTTGTTTAGGAATTCCAGATTCAAATTTATTTAGAATTTAGGCTTATGTATTTGTTTGTGTTTCTAAATAAGTGATTATATAAAACTTTTTTGAACAATTTCGGCCAATATCGGAATCCTCGGCGTCGACATATCGAGTGACGTGCAGTTTCGTGGTCACTTGGACGAGAAGGCCAAATTGGCCTCCAAAAAGTTTAGCGTGCTCAGCAGAGCGGGTCAGTATTTCATGTCGGCACACCGCCTACAACTTTATAAGACGCAGGTTCGGCCGCACATGGAATACTATTCCCATCTCTGGGCTGTGGCTCCCTAGTACCAGCTCCTTCCATTTGATCGCATCCAGCTTAGAGCTGTTCGAATAGTCGGCGACCGAGCTCTTTCCGATCGCCTTGACTCACTGGCACTGCGAAGAGATGTTGGATCCCTTTGCGTATTTTATCGACTATTTTATTTTACCACGGGGAGTGCTTTAAGGAATTGTTTGGACTTCTTCCAGCCGTACAATTTCACCATCGCACATCGCGACATAACTTGCTATATCATCCATACCATCTGGATGACTGGCGGTCCATCACTGTGCGATTTAAAATAAGTTTTCTTCCTTGTGGAATCGACCAGCACCGGAGATTTTTCCGGATCGATACGACTTAGGGATCTTCAAGAAAAGAGCCTACTGCTTTTTAAAAGGCCGGCATCAGTGTTGCCACATTGAATTACCGTAGGTCTCTAGACTGCCGTCAAAAAGTCCCTAGTTATATATGAATTAATTAACAAAAACAGTCCCCATATGTCGCTAAATTTAATTTTATTAAAAAAACGCGAAACAAAGATAAAATCGAACAATATATTCATCAATCATTAATATTCTTATATATATATATATATATATATATATATATATATATATATATATATATATATATATATATATAAGCAATTAGAGCATAATAATGTTGTACATGTTAAGTGATTTATTTGTAATAGGTGATGGAATGTAGTTGTGCTTCTCTTAATGTGTTTATTATTGTATAAGCGACATCCAGAGAACCTTTGTTTCGGTTCCTTTACATTTTATTATTTCTTTAACGGATAGAGTATAGTATTTCTTACGCCTGAAGTAGTCAGATGGTAACAAAAATTGAAGTAAGTGCAAATGTCACTAAAAGTCGCCAGAATATTTTTTGTCGCTAAACATTGAATTAAACTCTCCAAGTTAACAAAAAACTCGTTAGATTTAGCGACAAAGTCGCTAAAGTGGCAACACGGGCCGGCATCGCGTCTGCAATTTACCTGATGTTGCAGTTGTTTATGGGCGGTGGTAATCACTTACCATCAAGTGAACCGTATGCTCGTTTGCCCCCTCTTCTAAAAAAAAATATAGCTGCAACTTTATTGTAATAGGTTAAAAAGTCTAAATAGTTTACTTTGGCATATTTGACATCACTATTTCACAAAATGCGCCTCTACAGTATTTTACTATGACGCTCTCATTGTGATTAGACGTCACGAATATTAATCTGGTTTCTTCATTTTTCTTATCAAGCCACCTAAATATCGTATATTTTCGTTACACGTGTAAAATTATTATTCTGTTGTATATAAATATACTCGTAAATTTTATCTCATTCTTGCTTTGGAAATGTTATCTAATGTTTTATTTTATTTATTTATTATATCGCAAGTGCGAAGAGTGTTAATCATAGCGAATTCTCTATTCTTATCTTATGTAGGTCATTCACACTTGACATTCAACTTCGTTGTCACGAAAATATAGCTTAATTGTATTGTACTGGGGAAAATAACCGTAATATTTTTTAAATAGCTGCAATAGTTACTGCTAAAAATAATTTGTACAAATGACAGACAGACTTTGGCAGAAATGACAGAAAAAAAGAAGAAACGGCAGAAAAAAAATGACAGACAGACAGACTTTGATATGCACTTAGTAAAAAGTTGTTATTTTTATATTACAAAGAGACTCTTATAAAAACAACAACATCAGTAGTTACGTAAATACCGTCGCGTAGAGGCAGCGAAAGGGAATCCACTATCCCATAAAAAGCGCAATCATCCGGTGTCGTACGGGGCGACATTATTAAATGCAACAGGGGACGGTATCTTCCTCATAACAACTTAAAATAATAAATATTTCGGTTGCAAACCCGTCTACCAAGCGCGGCAAGTAAGGGAAATTTCCCTCTATGAGGCATTCTATGGAGAAGGCCTTTGTTCGGAGATGGATCTACCATAGGTTGTAAGAAAAATATTAACTTTTATGCCTTATCTATACTTAAGTGTCATGTTTCGTCTCTGGGGTTTCGTAAGAGGCAACTATGGAAAATGCTAGATAATTGTCATGGCCTACGATTAATGGCGAAAACACCATCTCGTTACGTCAGAAGTAAAATATTCTGATTGACGAGGAAGAGCAGAGTCTAAAGTTGTGAGACATCTGATACTGACATAACAAATTAGATGGGTTCGTCAACAGGCTAACGGGGAAGCTGGGGCCATTGATTGACACAGTTTGCACATGAAATGTGTGCGTACATAGATTAATAGGTAAAACAGTTGCGAAACCAATCAAAAACCGTTTTTGAAACAAGTTTAATTAAAAAAAAATTCATTTTTTCAGACGCAGATGAGCGGTGACCGCGCCGGCACTGGTTCACAGTGCGGCCTGACGTCACTGCTGCCCATGTCCTGTCGCGGACGGGCAGCAGCGTTTGCGCGAGACTTGAACTCACGCCTAAGGAATCTCGGTGCTGCGCAAGAACATGAGTGTGAAAATACCTGGCTCACGCGTGACTCTACCTCAACTCACAGACCTGCAACGTCCCCACAGAGGGACTTAGAAACGTTTTACGATTTTGAACTTGAATGTGAGAGTCCTTCCAGTCCCGTTGATGAATATGACGCCCCGTTTCCTGAGCGATCTACCACAGATATCACAGAGACACCGTTTTTTGATGTCAACTCAGAAGTGGACCTCAAAGAAAAAAGTAGGTTAACATTAAAACAGCCAGATAAAAACAAGAACGGTTTTAAGTTTTCTACTGCTTTTTATACGGACACTTCACCAGTGAAACTTCAACCTGTCCCTCGAGAAAATGGCTATGCAGATAAACCTCTATATTCACCTATAAGTTTCGAAGGCTGTGTACGACAAAATAGTTGGGATGAAATCGACTTTGCAACTCGATCTCCAACAATTGTTGAATCTGCACGATTTTTTAGTTCACCAATTAATAAATTAACGGTTCCTGATAGCGATTCTGAATTTGAATCTGCAAAAAGCGAACCATCCGATTGTAATGATGATATTACCCTAGGTGAAAACTCTTTAGGAAAGGATGCAACAGAGGGCGTAGAAAACTTATCACTAACTGATGCGGATCTCTTTGATGAAGAAATCGCCATTGATTCAACTGACATTAAATCAACGTCTGCTAATAATATTGATATAAATGCAACCGAAATAATTACCAGTGAAGTTTCTGATGAAAAAGATGTATCGCCTGTGCCTGAAATCGATCCTAAATTATTAAACACAGAATGTAAAGAAGATGAAGAAACTGAAGACGATCGTCCACAGCGTGTTCGCAGGTGCTCTTCACTAAAGACTGGGAAAACGCCACCCGGAACGCCAGGACGTAAAAAAATTGTTCGATTTGCTGATGTACTGGGACTTGATTTAGCTGATGTTAAAACATTCATGGATGAGATACCAGTCATTCCAAAGTCCGCCTATGATGATCTTACAGGTTGTGATGTACAAAATTCTCCACCAGCTAGACCTCAGCCCAAACTTGGTGCCCTAACATTGGTTCCATTGTTCCAACTACCTCGCGATGTAACAGAGAAACTTGAAAAGATGAACGTATGCCTGGAAAGTGCACGTGTCTGCGACGGGGCTCATGTAACGGTTTGCGGATCAGTGCGTGTACGGAATTTAGATTTTCATAAGACTGTTCACGTTCGTTACACCATGAATCGATGGAAAACATACACTGACCTACAAGCAACATATGTACAGGGCTCTTGTGATGGATATTCAGATCGCTTTCAATTTGTTTTGTATGCGCCGTGTATATCTTCTGGCCAGAGGTTAGAACTGGCTGTTCGTTTCCAGTGTAAAGGGCAACAATTTTGGGACAGTAATGATGGATCCAATTATTGCTTCGATTGTTTAGCTTTGGGCGCAACAGCACCAATATCGGCAACACCAATAGTGCTTCATCCTACTGTGGACTGGCATCCGTCGTTTTACTGACTACCTAAAAAGTGATTTTAGTGGTGGTCTTAGTATGGGAGTGATGATGGTGAATATTCGAAAAACTGGAGTCCGGCTGGCCCGGAGTAGCAAGCATGTGCTCAGGCGAAAGACTGGAGTAGCTGGTGATGTCGTAATCAGTCATGATTTAGCCCGCGCCGGCTACGATCAATTCCTGAAAGAAGCAAAACGTGGCGTCCTAATTTAATGAGGCTTAAAATACGAAGCGTTTTGTGATATAATTTAGAGTAGGCGTAGAATTTATTTGAGCGTGAAATCGTCTCGTTATACGTGCCATTTGAAATGCGATTTTTCAGGTCATTCTATTTTTAATACTATTATTTTGTAGTATAGTGTACACGAGAACAATTGAATGATATAATACGATGTAATTATGATTATCACGAACGAGAAATCGAATTATTGAAATTTTTGTACATAGTTGGAGAAATGAATACTGAATGATATTAATATTTTAATATTTTTTACAAACTGTTAGCCGTATTGATTAAATAGTTTTATATGAAAATAAACACTTAGATTTTATTCACATTAACTATGAAGTATAGATTATTTGAATATATTAATTATTGTAACGAATAGTGCAAATATAATTCATAATTATCTGTGTCATGTATGAAGCTCGTTTATTAGATTGTTAAAAATTATTAATAAGGCTCTCATAAATATTTGTCAATATTAGTCAGGTATTAAATAAGTATAATAATCCTACACATGTTACAACATTAAGCAATATATAATGGGAATTATTTAATTAAAGTCTTTAAAAATGCTGTAAAGTAGATATATATATTTTCTATTTTTATATTTAGAAAACTATATCATGATACTTCGTCTGAAATAATGGATAATAATTGTTTTGAAATTTGAGATTTTATTGATTCAAGAAGACTAATAGGAGATATGAAATTAAATTATTATTACTTTTAAGCTGGCAGCAATATTTATTATTTTGCTTTAATTTTTATATGTACCTGAATCCTTAAATGTGGCCATATTACTTTTACAATATACCGATACGTCGACGTTCTTCTGTATAGTTGTTATTGTTAAAATTTGACAACTGTGTTAATAATAATAAATACCTTCCTAATTAAATATTTTCCACAAATTTAAGCTGCGCTGTTTTATTAACCGTTATCTTATGAACACAAATAGGAAATTATGTATTTCTAATATTGGGTAATTGAGACGACCTTTAATAGTCAACTACATTACCTACCTGTATAATTTAAATTTGTGGCTTTTGGTGGTGTAAAATTTTGAATTAAATTTCAGTACCTATTTCAAAATATACAAATAAAATGATTTCTTTGATTTTGAAAGCTAACGTATGACCATAGACTTTTTATACTACTATCATATAAATCAATGCGTTACTAAAGTAAAGTAGTAAAGGAATTGTATAAAACTATATTTTTATACAATTCCTTTACTACTTTACTTTAGTGACAACTTGTAATGTCTTATTGAAAAATAGCTTATAGGTAATTAGTTTCAAGCTTAAACTAGTCTGCTTCTTTTAAATAAATATTTATATATTTATTTAAAATCTTAATTGCACTTAAAATGTACAATTAGCTGACTTAATACCTTTAGGAATTCTCTACCAGTCCACCAGGTGCCATAAAACATGAGAATATCTATACGTGATTGTAAATATAAAAACATACATACCATACGTGGAAATACAATTATGAATATACATATATAACTACAAATAACCTAAATATTACACTATGCCAGATACATATGCGCAATTTTTAAATAATACATAATTAATACATTATAAGCATACATCATATTATTCAAACATAATAGACATTAAAATTAAACAGCTGCTGAAAGAAGAAAGGTCGACACGATTGTGAAGCTGTAAATTTTCATACAAAAAGCGATAACGTTTTCCCTGCTGTAAATATAGTCTAATTTTCATAATTTTTGGAAGTGTTGTACATAGATATAATAAAAAAACTAGGTCCGTCCGTTTTTATTTTAAGAAATACTGATTTTTGATTTAAAACTTCCTCGAGCGTTTTCATTTTTATAAATTAAACTAAACTGAATTACTAAAAAATAAAAACGTATGGACCTATGAAGTTATTCTGAATCTAATGAGACCAAATTTTTGGTATAATATTTGATATAAAATGATATAAAGGCTTAGGAGAGTGAAAACATCATCTCTCCAAATAATTTTTTGGCACTTACTTCCAACATTTGCAACTCTATCGCACGACGCGACGGCGATACGGAGCGAGCGATGTGAAACAGATAGCTTTTTTGAAAATACCTACTCGCGCAGCGCATCGGCACTTCACAATCCTCCTATGGGTTTCCTAATATGTGGAGGCAATTTATTCCAAAGCCCTTTGGCCTCAGCGGTGAAAGACAGACAGGTGCGGCGAGGAAAAACCAACACAAGGTCCCCTTCCCTCGAAGGATCGCAAATTACGATCGTGGGAAAACCCAAATACTGAAACTTGCATTTCAGGTATTGGCAGCGTGCGAAGAATTCTGATGCATTTACGCTGATGGATAGGGAGCTATTTAAGCTTAGAACGATATAAGGATACATGAACGTATTTACAAAGGCCAAAAATGAAACGGTTGCAATTATTGAGCAAACGATCCAATATGCACAGAGGCAGTGCCTGATCTAGAGTTCCGACAGCCCTTTTTTTACACGAGGAAATGCCTACGCATGCTGGCCCCGCGGGGGCAAGGACAGGTTATGTCGGACTCGCATCGACAAAAATCCCATGGTGTTCCACCTTCGTCGCATATTCGCAGGACCACGGGGCCCCTTTCGATTCGAAACATCCGCATTTCCACCGGCGGTGGCCGTCCCACGGCGGCCCCTCCTCGGAAGGGAACCACACCTCCCCCATCTTCTTCTCAGGTAAGACGCAGTAGAACACATCGCGCTTCCTCCTTCGCGGCCTCCAACTTCACATGCGCAACAGACGCCGTCTCCGATGCGCGAAGGCCATGAGGCCAGAAAAAACGAGTATTCAGAAGCACAACCCTTCCTGACCCCAGCGGCAGATCTAGTCTATGGCTCCGCCACCAACCACGATTCGGCTGCGGAGGGTAGGGAGAGCGGCGCCTCGCAATACCGACACTCCTCTCCCCCCGCAGCCCCACCACCACCGCATCAATTAAAGATGCAGCCCCGTAAGAGTCGTGGAGGTTAGGGCGAGTGATGCATCGCCATAACAACACTCCTCTTTTTCCGCGACTCCACTTCGACGGCAGCGGTAGGGAGATTTTGTTTATTCTACTACTGTAGTACTGTAATTCTGTACTGTAGACTACTTCAGACACAAGTTTAATTTGATACTGGATGACGTGTTCCCGTAAATTATTAGCACGGAAGGTGTTAAAAGCATATACTGTAAATATGCTTTTGGAAATAGCGTAGGTGATAGCACGCAGCCTTGTAAAAATTAGCATTAATAGGCTTGTAGAAGGAAACTTCTAAGCGCTTTGCGTCAATGCTCATCGAAAACCTATGACCAAAGTAACGACCAAGCTTTAGAGTCCAAGAGGAAAGACTTGGATTCTACTATTTCCGCTCATCTATGAGGTAGGTAAATTAGAAGATTAGAACTAGAACCAGCTGATTTGTGATTGCCAACTAATGCTGATCGTTCTCAAGGTACTTCATAAAGTTGTGTCTCGCCAGCAACGCAAAGCTAGGAATTTGCATTCAGAAAAAGCCAAAATTAGGGGCATTTTAGATGTTAAAAAATTTTTGTTTTGTTAAAAAATTGAAATTTGCGTTGCTGGCAAAACGTATCGCTGGCAATGCAGTGACGATAAATAGATATACGACAAATAAGGAATTAAGTGATGCAAGTATAGGTAATGACAAGGCGCTCTTAATAAAAATAAAGACGATATTCAGAACAAAATCAGATGCAAGAATCAGGTCTTCTGAAAATCAGAAGAGAATTAAAATCAGATATGAATAATTTGATAATAAAGTGCTAATTAAGTGCTTTCAAAAACACAACTCACTTTTTTATACAGGAATATTAACACAGTTTCTTCTGTAATGGCTTCGGCGCTGCAGGAAGTATAACCCCTTCGCCCTTGCGTAGCAAATCGCAGGCATCTGTGTTAGGCGTAGCTGCAGAGTTGTGGATCGGTAGCGGGTGGAGCTGCTTTCCCTCCACGCCTACGACTTTACAAAAACACTCTAGGGGTAGGGCACACAGGACTACGGGGGGAGTCGGGGTGTTCTGATTCGGTTTTAGTACAGATTCCACCTATCTTATCTCTAACATATAACTAATAGGAACAAAAAATGCCGTTCATACCTTATAATAAGGTATTGGTGGTGGACCCGATAATTCCCAGAATATTACCGTCATCTACATTCGACCTCAATAATCTTTCAGCACATAGTTAGCACTTTACTCCTTGCTATTAATATTTATCGTATATCCGTTATCATCACTTCGTTGCTAACGATACGTTTTGCCAGTAATGCAAATTTCAAATGTTAGTTGCGGTGAAAATTTTTGAGCACCTAATTTTTAGAATTGACGCCCAATTAGATCCTAAAAGGCCCCTAATTTTTTTTTCTAAATACAAATTCCTGACTTTGCGATGCTGCCGAGACATAGCTACTTTATGATCTGGCTATATATTATGATAAATTCCTTTATTTTGGAAAACAACGAGGCGAAGGTGATAAGCTTGTAGTTGGACGAGTCTGAGCGGTCGCCTTTTTAGGTATCGGGTGCTTAACGCTGTCTTCCATAAGTTTAGGATTACGCCTAAGGAATAAGAGTACCAGAAAAGACGCATTAGAACGGGTGCTAACTCCGGAGCACTCGTCCTCAGCACAATAGGATGGAACTTCATCAGGCTCACTTGACTTGTTGACATCGAGGAAGAGAAGTGCTTTGCACACTGAGCGCTGCGTGCACACCACATCCGGCATGGAGCGATTTAAGGACGCGTAATTC